TTTTCAGGTCAGCAGGTCGGGCCGGGAGTGTGACGTGACGGGAGCATATCGGGACTCTCAGGACATTTATAAATATATTTTGGACTGTATAACTAAAATTTACGCTTCCGCTTACTTTTGGCGATCTTTTGATGATGCTTTGATGATTTTGACGGTTTTATCATATTTTGATAAACTTTTCAGAAAATTAAGTTTTTTAAATAATCGGACATTTTTATTAAATTAAAACAACGGTTTTCTAAAGATTTTCACGGTAGCACCCCAAATCAGTCTCGCAAAGTAAAAATGTTTAGTTTGTCAAAGACTTTGCGATTAAATGCGCTACTCTGATTTGTCTAGTAAGGTGGGGTGTTACAATTGGTATCAGAGCACGTTTCTGCGTCTCTGATAAGTTTTCAGTCAGATAAGTTTTTCAGTAAGTAATTTTTCAGAAAAGATTACAGTCCGAAATTTCAGTAAAACCCGAACCGTCATGTTCACGCCCCGCCGACGACAGGTAAGTGCTGTTGCAATTCAGTTTTTCAGTTATTATAAACATGTTACTTTGTCTATGCTCAGAATTAAGGATCGGAACTTTAGTTAAGATGCTCGAATCAGATTCAGACTCTAGAGGTTGGACATGACTTTAGAAATCAGGCATTCAGATATGACTCTAGACGTTAGGATTTTTCCGAGATGACTCTAGAGTTCTTCAGGTTTCCAGTCAGTAATTATCGGCCAATTTTTGGCAACTCGTCAAGAGATCTGTGTGCCTAGTAATCAGTCAGTAAGGCTACCATGTAATATTCAGTAATGTTAATCTTTTTCAATGTTCAGATACCGCCTCGTAGGGAAACCCGATCACTCAGTATTTATTCAAGCCACAGTAGTCGCACAGTTCCGCGACTATCATGTTAAGAAATTCTTCGGCCGAAGAAATCCCCGTGCCAGGGGCAAGTGAATTCAGAACCGTAGGCAAGGATTGAGTACTCTAGATTCAATTCTAGACTTACCCAAGTCAAGTTAGTAACTTGTCAGAAGATTTGTAAGCATTATGCTAAACGAATATTAAGAATCTTGTTTCTCAGAAATTCTTATCGAGAACTGCCATTTTATCAATCAATTGGCAGACTTCAGGGAGAAATTCCTTGATTTAATTCGAGGAATAGACTCAAAATTCCTAAGTCAGATCAGTAAGTCATGATCAAGGCAAGAATTTTCATGTTAAAGGTTGTTATAATGCTCAAGGCATTATTAAGGTAACGGTTTCCAGTGTATAAGAGTCAATAGTCCGGGTTACCATGGA